TGATACTTCACCACCCTGAACTTGTGTCCTCGGAAGAAAATGCCACTGAATTCTTTTTGGAAGAGCCTTCTTTTGGGTGAGCGCTTGCTCGCTTACTGGGTGAACAGTATTATAAAGTTTCAGTCTGGGCCAATGACTGAACCTTGAACTCATGGCCCTTGGACAGAGGGCTCTGAGCAAATGAAGCCATGGAAAAGTTATGCTTCCCCAGCAGAAAACGAATAAATAAATGTGCCTGGTTTTAATATTATTAAGAATCACTGCAAGGGATTTATGCCCATCTGTGTTCTCTAGCCGGTTTCAAAATAGTTTGAAAAATGAACTACTATAATCATTCTTCAAAAATAAAAGAGTTCACGATCTCAAGTCACTGTTTTTCAGACTTTTGAAAACCAAAGTCCAGGTGGGAGACTCTTTCCAAGCAACTTTTCCCACTCCTGGGATCTTAACTGAAGATAAAATAGAAATGGAATGAAAGCAGCCCTTGTAAACCGGGCATCTTCCCAGCACAGGAGAAAATGCTATCATATTTGGGATTATTTACACAAGTATATCAAATACAAGCACAGTTGTATAATGAAAGATTATTTGAGTGCCAAAAGAATGTCATATATATGGCACTCAGCCTTGCTCCTGGTTGCTGAGATGATCTTCTAATTACTTTATGCTTTTCAAACTTACAATATGCTTCTCCCCTCCCCTCCCCTCCCAGTTTTGCAGAAGAGAAAAAAAACATTGTTCTGTCCGCAGTTCTAATCAGAAAGGCTTTGCTTGTGCCACTCTAATATCCTGAGTATTAAAGCAATTTAATCTTTTCCATCGCAAACTTCTGGACATGCTAGTTTAGCAGACGTAGCACACTGTTTGATAAAATCATTTTAATCTGAATTTTTTGGAAACTACCGCAGCATCTGGTCAATTTTAAGACAGCCAAAAGTTCTTGGCAAGAAAGATGGGGAGAAGGAAGGAGCTGAGAGCAAGCATGCATGCACTCAAAACAAAACTTCATGTATTGATGTGTTGAACTGAAACTTCCTCCATTTCCCCCCTTCTGGCTAATGCTGAACGCATCGTTTACCCCCCCCCCCTACCAAAAGGAAAAAATTAAAATTTAATTCAGTTGTGTGTATTCATTTTAGAAATATCTATGGTTTGCTTTAAAGTTGCTGCAGAAAAAGAACAGTTTTGGAAGCAGAGGGCTACTAGATACTGGTATTGAAGAGCATACTGATGCTGATAACCCTGCTGAAAAATAGTAAGACTTTCTATGAGAACCCTGGGAATATATTTGCAATGAAAGTTGTATTTTTACTACCATCACCACAAAAAAAGGCATTCAGTTTTAGTTTGGAAGAAACATTTGGAATTAAATTTACCGTGAATTTTGCCCTTGATTTCCATAACAAACATAACAAACACAGTAATATAATTATAGTTGGAGAGGAAGGCATGACTTGTTTTTAAAAATTGGTTGGATTGAAAAGATGAGAAGTTTTTCAGACATTTGAATCCCAATCCTGCCAATATCAAACCTAGTGTAAACTCTGTTAAAGATAGTGAAAATTCCTCCAGACTACAAATACTTTTTAATTTTATACATACAGTTCTGCAAAGGCACTAATGAACCCATGTGAGTGAAGGAGGAATCTCTTGGGCTCAAGTCAAATCTGTTCCTTCCGTCTGGTCTGCTCTTGCTGAAGTAGTGCTAAAGTTGAGCCACTCCACTTGGGAATTTGGTGCCAATTAGGTTCCAGCAATTGCAGATGTCTCTGAATATAGAATTTTGGATCCACTAGAGGGTTTTTTTAAGTCATTTTAAACTACTTTGACAACTCTATTACATCTTACTTGCTTTGATTATAATTAGTGCTATTGTTGTTATTCTAAACAATATTTAGGCATGGCACAGATCTACAGGATTGAGAAAGATGGAGTCAAAAATGTTTTGATTCAAATTAGCCTATTTTCTGTCCTGCTTAACTCCCGTACCCCCCAAACCAATTAATTAATGTCACAAAGTTGCATACCAATTTATAGATTTCAAAAACATGCCACCAATTTCCTAAGGGAAAGTGATTCCAAACAAATGCAAAAGGAAGCATATAAAAAGATATTAAAAAAGTAAAAATAGAAGTGACAAAAAAATAGCCACAGGAAAAGAGTTCCGGTTGCAATGAACCCACCACCCAGCTAAAAAATTGCTATGAACCCTGAAAGTTAGTAAGCCCAAAAAAGGCTTTCCCTCATTCAACTAAAGAAAATGATTTCAATGCCTATATACTGTGTATGTCTCGACTGATTTTTGAAAATAAAACACATCTACTTTGCTCTCCTTCATTTTAAAAGCAAATATTATGCTTATGTCATTTCAAATTACAATGTCAGTAATTTTGGCTTGTGTTCACTCACTTGAAGGTTCATGAGTGGTTGAAACCGGTGGGGGAAACTTGAACAAACATAGGTGAATACTTACGGAAGGACCTACTTTGTTGATTTTGAAATTGTTTGATAATCTATCATTCGATCTGTATAAAATGTCAGGGTAATTGATGTGTGTGAATGTGTGTGTGAACATCCCAAAATCAAATGTGTCAAATGATTTCTGGTAGTCATAGCAGCTGTTGAACATAGACCAAATTTCCATAAGAGCTAAAGCAGTGTTTCTCAACCTTGACAATTTTAAGGCATGTGGACTTCAACTCCCAGAATTCCACAGCCAGCAATGCTGGCTGTGGAATTCTGGGAGTTGAAGTCCACATGCCTTAAAATTGTCAAGGTTGAGAAACACTGAGCTAAAGGAAAGAGCCCTCCTGGGTACTATTTTAAATGTTTTTAACCCAAAATTAAAATTAAAATGCAAATTGTTTCCCCAAGCTTCCTATGAGCGATTGATTGTAGAAGGGGCAGCACCATTAAACAGTGTAGATTCCCAGCTCTGGGAGACGAGGATTCTAATTTACTTTTAGTATTGGAAACACTTTCAGAAGATCCTTGATAATTATCGTATCCATAATTTGTACCAAGGATCTTCATTTGCCCTTGACTTTATTAGGTCTTTTCTGCCTCCAGCACAACTTGCCACATATTGAAAGAAACTGCACATCGATTGTAGTGAAGCAACTAGGAAAGTGAACACCAAGGCCCAGCTCCTCCTCCCACCTGCTTTCTAGCTTTCACCCCTTTCCCATGAGCATCTTCTGCTCCTTTCAAGAGTGGTAGAATAAGTCTTGCCTCCCCATACAAACAATTCAGGCTGGGAGTCCACCTCAGGGCTCACTCCCATCCCTCTCCATGGAAAGCACTGTCTATTAATAGAACTGCACCCAGCTAATAAGCAAAGGGGGCTGGGGGGGGCGGGACTCGAGTAGCAAATGCTGAGGGCCAGATTGTTTGCAAAATGGAAGGATGGAGGTAAGGGAGGATTCCTGAATCTGCAGCCAGCCCCAAAGGATTTCTTTTTCCTGATTCCAAAGGAGATCAAAAAGATTTTCCTCGGATTTTCCATCTTTTGGACCTGTTATGGGGAGAGAGAACCAAATGCATACAACGAAGAACTGAGTAACTTCTGGAGATTATCCACTCTACCATCTCACTCTTGCTGAAATTTTACTTACACTGAACACATAATCATATGCAGCAATTAGGTGGGGCCATTAATGAAGAGCTTATATTCTGTGCCTCTGAGTAGACAGACACACAAACTTTTCCCAATCAGATCAGAAAAGATTGGTAGAATTATGTAAATAGGAGATCGCTAACGAATTTGCTTTCCTCTTCTTTCTTTGTTCCCCACCCCAGCAATCTTGCGGATGAGGATGGGGATTATAAGTAGTAGTAGTCATCTTTGGCCCATTACACTTTTGTACGTAAAAACCATTCAATATGTTACTTTTCATGGTCAGCACAACGTTGTGAAATTTCTTCCAACACGCATCCTTAATATTTTTATATTTCTATTTCCTCCCTTCCAAAGAGCCAAAATATTAAGTGGGCATTTCCCCCTTTTTTCTTTTATCTAAAAGTGGGGCTTTAATGAATGAGGTTAGGGCAAAAAGTGCTGAGATGTTTAAAGCATACTGATTCCTACAGAAATTTATCCCGAAAACTTTCCGAAAATATATGCTTTGGAAAGAATCAATTAAAAGAAAATGGTTCTCCACTCTGCAGGGACTAGTCTAGGCAGCAGCCAGGAGTCAACAGTAACTTGAAAGCTCACCTGAGGGATACACACTACTCTTGCACAATATGAGGACACTTAATGATAAGAGGTTCTGGCCCAAATTAAGTTCAGGGACGGCGATTATGATCTTTTAGACTGGAGGGTTTCCCCTACTTTGTGCGGGTCGAAAAGATAAAAAAAGAAAAGGAAAGCAGAGGAAAGGGCGGAGAGAGGGTAAAGAGGGAAGATACAAGGCGACAGCTATGACGAGAGAATTCTTTTTTTATTTTTTATTTTAATAGGAGCGAACACACGTGGCGCTCAAAGGTTCAAAACAGCGGAGGAGCAAACGCTTCGGAGGCAACAGTTTCCGCGGGGAATTAGAGGAGAGGACCGGGAGCCTTGCACTTTCACTGCCCACCCGCCCCTTTCTCTCCGCGCGTGGTCGGCTGATTTGCTACCGCCGGGCTCCCCGGTTAGTTTTTTTTTTTTGCAGGGAGAAGCTGCTTGGCTTCCGTCTCTTTCTCTCCCTCCTCGCTTCCCGGGGCTCCACCAATGGGGGAGCGGGGCCTAGCAGCGCCAGGCTTTGGGCCAACATGATTGATGCCCTCGGAAGGAGGCGAGAGAGGGAGCCCACGGGCGCGCACGTTCCCCCTCCCCACCCTCTCTCCTCCTCCTCCTCCTCCTCCTCCTCCTCCTCCCCCTCTCCCCGCTTTTCCTTCCTCCGCTTCCGGCCGTCTTTTTTACCTCTTCGGGAGCAAGTGAAGCGAGACCAGAAAAGCTGCGCGTATTTTTAAAAAATCTCTAGCTTTGAATCAGGAGGAGGAAGAGGAGGTGGTGGCGGCGGTGGCGGAGGAGGCGGAGGAGGAGGAGGAGGAGGGGGGGGGAAGTCACCCTCTTTGGGGTGGCTCTCGGCCCAGCATGGATCACTTAGGGGCGCACCACCTCCACCCGAGCCACGCCGAGCCCATTAGCTTTGGAATCGACCAGATCCTGAACAACCCGGACCAAGGCAGCTGCATGATCTCCAACGCGCGGCTGCAGGAGGCGGCGGACTACGGCCTGGGAGGATGCGTGGTGAGCAGCACCTACAACCCCATGAGCGGCCACTACGGCTCGGCCCCCGGCGGCGGAGGGTCCTCCTCCGCCGGGGGCTACGGTAACGGCGGCGCCTGCAGCATGGCTTCGCTGGCGGGCTCCTACAACCTCAACGTCGGGGTCGGGGCCATGAACGGAAATAACCTCAACGCGGCCGGGGGCGTGATCCGGGTGCCGGCACACCGGCCCGTGGCCGGCGGCGTCCCCCAGCCTCTCCCCACGGCCGTGCCCAACGTGAACAACCTGACGGGGCTGACCTTCCCCTGGATGGAGAGCAACAGGCGCTACACCAAGGACCGCTTCACGGGTGAGTGAGAGGCTCCGGGGCTCTTTCCGCCCCGCGCGAGTCGCCGGCGCCTGCCAGCGCTGCCCCCGCTGCCTTCCCCGCTCCCGCCTCCGCAAGTCGGTCCGCTGCGTAGCCTCCCTCTCCTGCCCTCCAGCGAGAGAATCCCGGGCGTGCTCCGATTCGATTTGCAACCGCTTTAATTGAATCGATTGGGTTTGATTTATAAACAGCCTTGACGGATGTTTGCCTTAGCGGTTTGGCCCGAAAGTGCAGCGATGCCAGAAATTCAGAAGGCGAAACGTCAAGTAGCAAGCGTTTCCTAGTAATTTTCATGGCGGCTTGATTAACCTTATTAAATTAACGGTATTTTAATAGCGTAGCTAGCAACGAGTTTTCACCTTGATTAAAACTTCCACGGAAGAGATATCTTCTGAAACTCTCACCGCTTCTCTCAGAAGCTCCAACGGCGAGCAAATCGTTTCGTCGCCTTAGCCTTTAGGCAACCTTTTAAAACACTTAAACGTTCAATTTTGCATTCTTGGGTTAAGCAGGTTCTTTCAACATTTTAAAATTAAATGTTATTTCAACCAGTTTCCCCGCATTGTAGGTTCTTTTCCAATTTTCTATACTTCGTTCAAGAATTGATACAGTTTGCCCACCTCAATTCCGCGAGTAAAACGCGTCCGCCTATGGTAACGCATCTCTTAGGAACATTACAGATATGGCTAGAATCTATACTATAAATACTATAATAACCCTATAGCCACCACTATCATCGACATCATTATCTCTGTATATTTTTATGTGTATGTAGGTATACATATACTTATGTACACATGGAGTTATCAAACGATTTCATATATATAGTTCACCAACTTTTGTAGTATATAAATATATAGTTGAAAAATAACTAGGTTTTAAAAATGTACCATAACTAGAATTTTCAAAACTTATGAATCATAAACTGAACAAATAATGCTTCTATCTACATGTTTCCTGATCAAGTTTATTCAGCGTACTTGTGTGCATCCCTCACAATTATTGTTATAAATGATGGAGCGTGGGAATACGGATAAAAATAAGCATTTAGAAGAAATGTATCTTTCAGACAAGCAGTACAGAAATGACATTAATACTGGTAGCTCTGAAAGGGAAAGTGCCACAAGATGATCTATAGTTGAATCCAAGAAACTCATGCCTCCCCCCCCCAGGTTCATCTTTTCCTAGAAGTATGGGGCATGTGTGACCCATAAATTGGCACCTACATTATTCCACGTGCCTTAAAAAGAGCAGGGGAGGGAGAGAAGAGAGCAAAATGTCAATTCATCGTTTAATGGCAGATCTATTGGAAGATAAATTTTAGCAAGCCAATGTTCTTTCCGAATCGCCCAGATTTACGCTCATCCCCCCCCCCCAACCAGGATGCCACAAACAATAATGGTAATTATATTTCAATTTTAATTTAAACAGCGAGCCCCGACCTTCATCAATAAAGGTCCCATTACCTGCTGCTTCGGAGCAGAATACGACCTCCCCAGGGCTAGCCCTTTACCCGGCTTCCAGCCGGGGCGGGAGATTATTACATGCAGATTAGAGTAATGGTTGCTGCGATGTCCCCAGCAAGACGGATGGGCAGATCAAGGCTGTAGCGGCGCGATCTTGCTCTTTGACGCTCTGCTCTGAAGGGAGCTCCGCGGAGTTCAATGGCAGCAACTCCCGGCCTGTAATTGTAGATCCAACCGAGAGTCATTACCCCTGAACGAGTGGAGCCAATTTCGGACTAGACGCGGCCAGGAAGGAGGAAAATTTCCCTTCAGTTGTAGGCATCCGCGCCCCGGTCCGCGCATAGAGGCTTGTAATCCTGGTTGCACTGAGTTTTGAATTGCCCGCCACGCCTCAGTTTCTATGGGAGTTGGTTACTTTTACTTGAATGGCGGAGAGAAATCGTAAACAGCAACCGAAGCTGGGGAGAAGGGATACCAGCGATTTTCGGCATCGCGGGCAATGTCTGAAGCAGTTTAACCCGAAGACGCGACGACCCAGGCGGCCGCTTTATTTATTTTGCCTGGCCGCCGCCAGATTGGAGAAGGTCTCTAGACCTGCTGGATTGCATCGCCTTCGCCGCCAATTAGCAAGGCCGGATTATTTTTTGCCTTCCGACATTTCCACTCGCAATGGCGCAGATGCGGCTAAGGCCTTGCCGCCCGAAAAGGCCTCTCCTGGTTCTCCTCCCTGCCGAGGGGGCTGCCGCAAAAGAGGCTGGCTCGTTTTAGTTCGGAACAAATCATCTTCCGGCCCGTTCTCATCGGGCTTTAGATATTTTTTATATATATAAGAGAATTTTTATCCCGAGTCGCAATTCGTTCTTCGGAAAGAACAGATTTTGTTCTTGGTACAGAGGCCTAATCTTGGCCTTTTTTTTTTTCTTTCCCGCCGTCCTTCCGCCGAGGGCCTACGCTGGGAAAACGCGAGCCATATTGGCGTGGAGAGCGAAGGCTGCGCGGAGTTGCTAGGGCTCTTTGTGGCAAAATCAGCCTCGGCACCGCCGAACAAGGTTCATAGAATGTCCCTCCGTTCCTTGTTCGGTTTGGGAGACTGCTGAACATTACGGGAAGCACAGTACCCAGATCAGGCGAGCTCAGAGGGATCTCAGGTGAGATAACGGGGTGTTGCCGATAAATTAATCAAAAGTCGCCAATTTCAGTTTTGGGATTATTTGCTGTGTTCTTAAATAGATCTGCTGCCACTAAACGAGATATAAACAAAATCAGGTATCCAGGAGAGTTGGAGATAGATTGAAGTGATTCCATTTTAAACAGTATTCTCACCTTCTATTTCTTCCGCCGCTTCCCAGCTAAACTTTTCTATGCCTCTCTGGCACCAGGTTAGCCTCTTTCCAGCAAATGCTCAGCCTTAGAGAGAAGGTACAGGTAGATACCATTAGACAAAATACATCGGATCAAAATAAAATGACCGTAAGAGAGTCTTAGATCAGATTTCTTTCTGTTGCTGTTGTTGGTGACTTTTGTGTCCATAATAGAACTGTAAACATCTACTTAAGCTAGGAAGATTTTGGAAAATAGGTTAATCATAGCTGTCACAAATGAAATATAACATGCAGCATATTCTTAGAAAAATTTAAAAGGAGCCTTCTTTAATTGCAAGAGGGGGAAATTTATCTAAGGCCCAAAGGACCTAATATTGTAAAAATAATTTCCTCATGTGCAGAATCATTATGTAAAGCGATCTAACTAAAACAAAACACTACAATTGTGTACACTATAATTATCCTGATAGTTTCAGTCCAACAATGGTACAACATTTATAACAGGTCAGATTTCCTAGATTTAAAATTAAAGCCATAAATGAAGGATTTCCAAAGAATGTGAAAGTAACTCAGAGCAATTATGCCTAGAATAATTCTTGGAAAGCATTCCTGTGCTGGTTCTTTTACCTCCTTCCCTCATTAACATTTTCTTTAGCTTTATGAGTTAAAATATTTTCCTTAGCTTTAGGATTTTCTCTTGACATTTCTTGGGAATGTGTTCCAGTGAGTGAGGTTGGGAGGGAAATATATTTAAGGTTATAAACAAATAGCAAAATATATATTTCCATAAGCATTATTTCAATTGGTAATTGCGTGGACATTTATGAATAAATCAAATACCAAAAGCAGATTTTAATGAGAGAGGGAGAGATTCATCCAGTTCCACATTTACAAATAACTGTGCCCACTGTAATTGCAAGCCGAGTTATGTGACGTACAATTCCACTGAGTTCAGTAGCACTTAATTCTGAACAAACTGGACTCATCTTTGACATCGGAGTCAGTCCAATGCATATTTACTTAGACATAATCCCAATATTTAAAAAGCAGTTTTCGCTCATATGAAGTGTATTGTGATTTACAGGCTAAATAATACACATATTTTTATCTAGAGAGAGAATGGCTTAAACTTCAGAAAGAACTGCCTGTTTAGTTAGATTTATTTTGAATTAACTCCTGTCAATTTTTCTGAGAGTATTAACTTTAACCAGGGTTATGGACTTCAGTAAAAACAATCTTCAAAAAATAAAAAACCATAAAAATGAAAAATCAAAATGTACTTTGATGGTTACATAACTACCCATGGAAATGAAAATTCATAATTTTAAAAAGGTTGTCAAAACAACAAAAAGTGGGGTGAGTTGGAATCCCAGATTTGGATTTTTATAGGGGAGGGTTTCAAGCTCTCTTTTGTTCCAAAGTCTTAAATAACAGTAGTTCAGTAATGCTCTTATTGAGGCTGCAGCAGTCTGAAGCTTTCTTTTTACATAGTTTCTCCCAGATAACATTAAGGAGATTGGGCTATAAATGTACACAGTTTCGGTCACCCTGCTTCTAGCTTGCAAGGTAGATTTGGTCCTCCAAACAAGGATTTCTCCCCTCCCCATTCCGGCCCCCTGCCTGCTTCATATATACCCTTCATGTGCTCCTCTGCCAGAGAACTTGCTTCTTGCAGAGAGTCTGGTGCCTCCATATTGGGATCCACCTGGGGTATGGGAAAGCTCCTCCGCAGCAGCACATGAATAAGGAAATATTGGTGGGTTCCAAAACAGAGATTTGTTCTTGAAAAAGCAAGGAGGAGATTGTGAGCCCTGTGACCAAGCCTTCTCTGTGCCTTCCTATTTCTCTGTTTGACTCTTGGTGTGTGTCTTTCTGTCTCTCCTCTGCTGCTGCTCTGTGCAGTCCTTCCTGATCATGTCACCGCTTGCTTCTTTGCCCCCCCCCCGCCCGCCCTGTCTCCCCCTCCAGTGGCCCTCTCACCGTTCACTGTAACACGCCGTATAGGTCACCCCTATCAGAACCGGACGCCCCCCAAGAAGAAGAAACCACGCACCTCTTTCACCCGTCTGCAGATCTGTGAACTGGAAAAACGCTTCCACCGACAGAAGTACCTGGCCTCAGCCGAGAGGGCGGCTTTAGCCAAGGCTCTGAAAATGACTGATGCCCAAGTCAAGACCTGGTTCCAGAACCGGAGAACAAAATGGAGGTAAGCACACCAAGCAAATGAGCTGTTGCTGCTGTGCTGGAACATGTTTTTCACCACTGGGCTGGGTCACCTGCTGGGCCATCAAGGCCAGACTCTCTACAAACATCCAGTAGTTTTTTTCCCCCCAAATGTCTCAGTGGGAGTTGATCAGGAACAGGAGTGATTTCCTGGGGTGAGCATGATTAGACCTGGTCTGCTGGGCACAGATCCAGTCATTCTTGGAAGAGGTTGCTCCTACTGGGAGTCATTCAGGAATCAAAGAGCTTGTTTGGTTCCTGCTTAAAAGTTCTTTGTATGTTCCCTCCAAGTACTTAACAATGGAGTAGTGAAGTTTGTGGTAAATACGTGTCTTGCAATTTTAGCATATCTGAAGGAAAATTGATGAATGGTGTGCAGTTTTAATGTCAAAGGGATTGAGAGTTGTGTCAGAATGCAGATTTTTTGTATTTGACTGTTTCTGTGATCCTACCACCCAATGTGATATCTAATATCTATTTTCATATATATCACTGAGTATTCATAACTTCTTTTTGAATGTGTCCCTTTATATGTAATACATAGATATTTTTACTACATATACCTGCCTCACCTGCTTCTTCTCCTCCAATTAATGTATGTTATCTACCTCAAGTTAGCACATTCTTATTTCTGGATAAAGAAGGCTCTTTGCCTCGAGATCTCTGATTGGTCAAGATTGTTCTAATGTTTAAATTAGGAATCTCTGTGTCTTATTTACGCCATCTTTTCCCAAAACATGCCCAGGGTTAGATATAAACTCCCATAATTCCTAGACAACACAGTTGGGAATGGAGTCCATCTTCTTTAACCACTGATATACATGTACAGAACAAGCTTCCTGTCCATCATGTGACTTTTGTCTGTGGTGGGAAATATTTCAGTCATCATATATTGGCTGCTTCTCCCATTTGTTTTGCTTTGGAAGCCAGTAATCCTTCTGATCTATTTAAAGCTTGGAACAGATGATTTGAAAACTGATTGGTTATAGCTGAGTCTTGGTTTATTGGCTGATGGACTGGAAATGGGAGGGAAGGACTGGTTCCTGTGAGTTGCCATTCAAAATCAAGACAGCCAGGTTTGTTGTGGAAGGACAGTTTCCATTGCTAGAGTTACAGGAGAAACAAACCAAGAAAAACATTTGCATGGTGAGGTCTGATGCATCCGGTCTTTGGTCTTCAGAAATAAGCAAGGAAATTCAGATGCCCTACTATATGTACCATCTCTCATTCTCGGAGACTCTTCCCTCATCTTCATAGGCCAGAACTCAGCAGAATAGAGGTGGGGCTACTATCACCCTCAGGAGAATCCCAAGCCATTTCCTTTGCTATCCTATGACTCTGCAACAGATTGGAGGAAGCTTGCTAGAAGTGGCTTAACCCATAAATGTTCTCTACTTCTAGAAATGTTGTGTTTAAAATATCAGATAAGCTGCTCCTACATTTTTTGTTCTTTGTTCTATTTCTGATCTTTAAGTTGTGTTATCCTTGCTTAAAATATTGTTCCTGGATTTAAGTAATAGAAGAGGGTTTGTACCGAGCAGCCCACAGGTATTGAGAGCAAAATTTCATTTTTAGGACTGATCTAGAACTAGTGAGGTGAGCTTGCTTTCTTTTGCTAGGACTGATACAAAGTATGTGGGCAGCAGAAGAGAGAGAATTTTCATGGCAGCTAGAGGTGCCTAGGAGTTAACTTTTATTAAAGCAGCTTCTTGGATAGATGAACTAGGTAGGACTGTATAGATTCCCTTGAAAGTCCAGTTTTAATAATTTTTTTAAAATAAAGGTTTTATTGAGTTTTATAAGGTTGGGGAAAGGATAGGATCAGGATGGGTATTAAGGTTTGGGGTGGGGTTGGGATCAGGATTGGGAACAGCATTGGGGTTGCCCCCAGTAACATTTTCAAGCTTTAGCAAACAGACTATTGTCTGGGTACATATGTTCAGTAACACTAATTAATATAGTAAATAGCTGTAATGAATATGATAAATGATAATCATAAACAGTATGAGTTGGTCAATACATATCATTGTTCTTACTAATATATATTCAGAATAACATATCACATTCATTTCTCACTAGTTCGTTTTCCCAACTATTGGTAAAAATTATCCCATGTTTTAAAGTAAACTGAATCTTCTTTCTCTTTAATCTCTAAGGTTAGTCTATCCATTTCTGCACATTCTAAAATTTTCTTAATTAAAATCTCTTCAGTTGGTAAGTCTTCATTTTTCCAGTATTGGGCAAATGCTATTCTCGCTGCTGCCAACACATGCAATATTAAATACTCATTCTCCTTCTCATATTTGTCTCCTAATATTCCTAACAAAAACAGTTCTGGTTTAAATTTTATCTGTATTTTAGTCATCTTTTCCAGCCATGTATGTATCTTAAGCTAAAAAAATTTCGCTTTAGGGCATACCCACCTGATATGGTAGTAAGTACCTGGCCTTTGTTTACATTTCCAACAATTATTCGAGATATTTTTAAACATTTTCGCTAATCTTCCTAGTGTCACATGCCATCTATAAAACATTTTATACAAATTTTCTTTATATGAAACTGCTTTAGTCAATTTAATATTTCTATCCCATAACTTTTGCCAATCTTCTAAATCTATAGAGTATCCAAAGTTTTTTGCCCATATTATCATTGTTTCTTTTATTTGTTCTTCTTCCATCTTCAAGTTTAGTAGAAATCTGTAAAGTTTCTTAATCAGGTTTTCATCTGTTTTTAACAATATTTGATCAAATTCTATCTGTTCTTTATAAAATCCCGTTGTCTTTGCATCTTTTTTGTATCTTGTTTGAATTTGCAAATATGGCCAATAATTTCAATAATTTTTAATGTAATCTGAACAACTCAATTGTCCATGTACGCTATCATAAATATATACCCTTGAAATTTATAAAGTTCCTAATGGTTTTATTATAAAAAGTCTTCCAGACACCTACCAGGAAGCCAGATATTAATATCCTGCTTGAGAATGACTACAGTTCTGGGAGGCAAAACAAGCTACTCATCCATCTAAAATTTTAAGTAGATAGTTTGTCTTTACCTGGTCTTAAGGAAGCAACATAGGCAGTATACTTGGTCTTTTTTCAGCATAAGAAGGGGATAATCATTTCACAAGAAAGTTATATGCTATAACAGACATACAGTATATTACTCAATTCTGACTTTTTACAGTCCTGACCATTTTGGTTCTTACATCTGCCTAGGGCCTAGGCATTAGAATGGAAAATAAACAGTTTCACCTTTGAACAAAAAGTCAACAAATATGAAATATTTTCTCAGAATAGGGATATGGATTGAGAGGGGCTAGAGATATTGAAGTTCAATAAAAATAAATAAAATACTAATATCCTGAATACAGGTAGTCCTCAACTTACAACAGTTTGCTTAGTGACCGTTCACAACTTTTCACACTTATGACCATTGCAGCATCCCCATGGTCACATGATTTACATTCAGATGCTTAACAACTGACTCACTGACTTTATGATGGTTGCAATGTCCTGGGGTCATGTGATCACCTTTTGCAACCTTCTGACAAGCAAGGTCAATGGAGAAACTAGATTCACTTAACAACCATGTTACTAATTTAATAACTGGAGTGATTCACTTAATGTGAAAAGAAAAGTTGTAAAATGGGGCAAAACTCATTTAACAAATTTCTTACTTAGCAACATAAATTTTGGGGTCAATTGTGGTTGTATGTAGAGGACTACCTGTAGGAAGCCATTATTATGTCTATAATGCTAGTGATTATACACTAACATATTAAGGCAAGGCTTGTAATATTGTCAATGCAAATGGATATCAGTTATCTAGGGATGCAAATATTAACAAATTGAATCTTTTTTTAAAAAAAGCTACAACCCACCAAACTGAAAACAAACACACACAGTGCATTTTAAAATATATACTCTATTTGAAAATGCATTCCAAACTGAAACAATACCTTTTTTTTATTAAGAGATTTTATACACTAATGAAAATCAAGACACATTATAAATGAAAAGAAAAAGAATAAAGAAAGCAGAGCAAGTGAATACAAGACATAAATAGAGGAAAGAAAAGGAAAAAAACATCAAAGTTTGGCTTCCAACTTTCTTTATAGCGGTTACCAATTTTTTATCTATCCTCCCCCTTTACAGTTATATAATAATTTCCTTCTTCCCATATTTTTCTCTTTCTAATTATCAAATCCATAAATCATCTGTTCATTTTTTTCCATTTTCAGCAGAAAGACATTCAACTTTCACAGCTCAGCCATGTCCTATGCACTGCTGCCTTGTGCTGTAATACAGCCAATACTACAATAAAGAATGTGAAGTGTAAAGGAGAGTTGATGATTTGTCTAAAACAGAGAATATTTAGATAGGATTCGTGGTTGACATTATAATATATTTATGCCCATAATTGATCATTGGCAGAATTCATGGCCTCAGATAGATGTTATAATTCTGTTTGAAATACAGCATTTTAAACTTTTCTATTAATCAGTGTTTCATAGGATATCTGGGGTTACACTTCTTGGCCCCTATTTAGTTAGAAGACTTATTAATAGTTAGAACATATTGAATCTTTTCTCTCTCTCTGGGTACATTATTTGTTTTTGTAAGAGCAATGGAACATTACAAACGGGGCATCTGTGTTATTGACATTCAATCATGAATGAAGAATACATTTCTGTTTTTTCTTTTAATTTGATGTGTCCATGTGTAATTTTATTACAAGCTATCTTAGACCAGTGGTTCTCAACCTTTTTAATGCCGCGACCCCAACCGGTCGTAAGTCGAGGACTACCCAACTGGTCATAAGTCAAGGACTTTCCCTGCCCGGGAGCCCCACGCATGCATGGTGCCACCCCCTGCGCCGGCCGAGGCGTAGCTGGCAAGGGGCAGCGATGGCGCAGGGCAACCACCGGGTGGGCCACCAGCTGGCCCAGCCCAAGGGAGGTAAGGCACCTGCCGGGCCCCA